TAATAGCATATCGCAAGATCGATAAAACATCAAAACTTGCTAAAATAACGTTTTTAGGGCAGGAAACGGTAATAAAAAACCACAGAGACATCTCTTTATGAGGTATGTACACTTAAATGGCAGCTTATGTGCATTTTCACCGTTTTATCGACGCGATCTTATGATACATTCCCACATAAATCACGTCGTTTCTCATTCACAGGACTTAGATTTCTTCCACATCACAAATACGATACGATAAATAGAAGGAAAAGAAAACAGAATCGTACCTGGAATATTCGAAGCCATCGTTTTGTTCGTCTCCTGGAACGCAGCTTGGGGACGAGGCTGATGTAACTTTACGCGGGAATTATCAACCTCGTACCCAGGCCTGGGCTTGGGAAAGCTCTTCGTGTTCGTCCCAGCTTTCCCAAGCCCAGGCCTGGGTACGAGGTTGATAATTCCCGCGTAAAGTTACATCAGCCTCGTCCCCAAGCTGCGTTCCAGGAGACGAACAAAACGATGGCTTCGAATTCCAGGTACGATTCTTTTTTCTTTTCCTTCTTAATAGGTTATCGATGTATGATAATAACAAGTAGCCGACTAATATTTGTCTGAGTAGTATTCTTCAGCAAAGAGAGTTTTAGATGCGGTGGGATATTGCACAGGGACATTGTCTTATAAGTTGTTTGTACGGCGCGCGCGAATATTGGAACATAAACATGCGATTTGAAATGAAATGAACTAAACCCTGGAATACCGGAAATAACTTATTCGCCGTATTTGTGATGTGAAAGGAATCTAAGTCCTGTGAATGAGAAACGACGTGATTTATGTGGGAATGTATCATAAGATCGCGTCGATAAAACGGTGAAAATGCACATAAGCTGCCATTTAAGTGTACATACCTCATAAAGAGATGTCTCTGTGGTTTTTTCTTACCGTTTCCTGCCCTAAAAACGTTATTTTAGCAAGTTTTGATGTTTTATCGATCTTGCGATATGCTATTAAATATACCCTGGAGGATCGAGGCTGTTGTGAGTCTGGGGTCCTGTGTTCAAATTTCGATTAGTGATAGGTTTGTTACTCACCTCAGAGGAACAAACTACCGGGTAATATTTTGTCTTTTTATTTTAATTTTTTGCTAGAACTCAGGTTGCAAAAGAGGAATGTGTGATAGCAAATATAAATGCTAGTACAGTAGCTTTCAACCCAAAAATAGCATTTCGAATATGCCTCCTACTGGCTGCCATTTTGTATCAGTGTTAAAGCTTTGGAGTTCTTTTTGACCCAGGATATTATTTATTAGCTTAGTATTCTTACGTGTACTTTCTAAACAAATTTTTATTTTATTTATTTATTTAGTCACTCACAAAACCTTATACAACATGAACGATGCTTGAAGCTTATATTAATAGCCTTCCTTCAACTACCTAATGAACTAAATTCATGGCTGAGTGCAGAGTGAGCAAGATCAGAAAATTAAGGAACAGATCGGCTATCAGTGAGATAATTCTTTAAATTTTTATTTAAAAACAAATATAGAAGGAGAGCTAATTAGTGAAATAGGCAACGAATTCCAGATTTTAGGTCCTTGGTAAAGGATACTGAATTGCTTTATATTAATTTGTTCTACAAAAATGAGGTCTATACTGAGAGGCTAGTCGAGTTTCGTATCGATGGACTTGATTACTACTTAGAACAAGTCAGAAAAGCTACTAGGCAAAAGATTATGGTGATAAGAATACATAAAAGTAGCAACAGTTGCTAGATAGTGAGCTTTTGTTATGAGCCGGACTAGACGCTTTTGCAAAAGGTAAATACAGTGTAGGTTGGAACAGTACGTAGGTGAAGGACCAGGCAACATTACAGTATGTTAAGAATGGATATACAAGGGAGTAATACAAGGTCATCAAAGTTTGGAATGATAGGTAAAAGTGGGCTTTCGCAATAATTCCCACACTTTTCAAGATTTTTTGTGAGACAAAATCAATTTGTGGTTTTCAAGAGAGATGCTGATCAATGAGAACACCTAAAAATTTTGTCATTGACTTTCTTTTACCTTGGATGAAAACTCATAAAATTTGTTTTAGTCAAATTTAGAGATAACTTGTTCACTTTAAGGCAAATAATTATTTTTGCAAAATAATTAGGTGGTTGGCATCTTTTGGGAACAAGTTCATTGTTGAAAAAACAATAGAAAAGGGGTGGTTGGCATCTTTGAAATAGGGAACAAAAGATACTGTTGTGTCATCAGCAAACAGTAAAGATTGAGTGAGACTAGAGACATTAAGAAGATCATAAAGTAAATAATAAACAAAAGAGGTCCAAGAATAGAGCCCTGTGGGTCGCCGCATAAAATTTTCCGCGGATAAGATCGATGGGACCCAAACTGGATGAATTGAGTCCGATCCTCAAGATTCTTTTGATCCACGCCAAAGCAGTATCCTGAATACCATGTGTTGCAGTTTTTGACACAATATTTCATGATTTCAAACGCCTTGGAAAGGTCTAAGAAGATGCCTAAAGTTGTTTCATTTCTGTCGATAGCTGAAGATATGTTGTTGATCAAGTCAATTAAAGCTAATGCAGTCGAACGATTATCACGGAATCCAAATTGTTTCGAGTATAAAATGTGACCCTCCATATGATTTCAGGGACAAAGGTGATAACACGCTCACAACACGCTTCCACTTAAAAACAAAAGAAATTGACTTTAACATGCTTACAAAGCACGCTAGAGCACACTTTAATGAGCTTGTGCTTTTTTCTCACATAACACACTATATACTAAAAGCAATAAAGCGTGCATCAATATATAGAACAGTGAAGTGTGTTAACCTTAGATAACAAAAGCTAGTGTGCAAGAAGACACCATACTTAAGTGTGCAACTTGGTGTGCTACATCGCACACAAACTTACTGGACAAGAAGCGAAAGTAATTGTAACACAATCATTGTACACTCATTCTTGATGTGAAAGCCGAAGCTCTTATCGGTGAATAATCAGTCAGCTTCATGATCGGAAAAAACAACGCTGTAACATTTTCTACAAAGGGTCAAGGATTTAAAATCAAACTCTTTGAATTTTTGGTTTATGTGGAGCCTGTTGTTTTTCCTAAACATCACAAACGTATTTCTTTTAGCTTTCTTTTAGAGTACCTTCAAGTTCAAGGTTGAAATATCAAATTACTGAATGACTTGCCTCAACAGCATAACATGAGCTAACAGGTCAACATAACCTGGAAGTTGTTGATAAATCATAAAACTTAAGCTAGAAAATTATAATTATTATTAAGTCTATCTTTTGAAGTGTAGAAAGTGTTTTTATTTTTGGAGCATAGCGTGTGAAGGTACCTATTTGCGTGAGTCACGTGTGAAGGGTTAAAAGATCGCGAGTACAGCCGCTGAAAATCTTTTTCTAAAACTTTAATGTTTTTCCGATTGGATAATTTCAAAAATTACTGCAAAACGCACGGCAAAAAAAAAGATAACACAGAATAAATGATCTGAGAAATCTCTGAGTGTACCGTTCGTAGCAAGACAGAAAACGCCACTGCTTCGATTGTCGCAGATTGATGCAAGTAATTATCACGCGTCACGCATAATTTGAAACTTTTTGCTTTTACACACATCGAAAGTTTTTCCTAGACTAAATATATACATACAACCGCAACCTAATGTTTTTAAAAGCAAGGGAAAACAGTCATGATTTTAATGCTGAAGGTTTTTCTAAGACTTGTAGATTCATTCGAGATCATTTTTAGACAAGAAACTTTATCTGCACTACAGCGGAAGTCACAGAAGTGAATTTCAAGCGCTTGTTTGTTTACTTTTTATCAGCGGACATTTTTTGTCCAGAGCCGACGATCAATTTAATGTTTTACCTTTTCATTTCAAAAGCGCAGAATGAGCAGGGAATTTTGTTGTTTGTTCACTGGAAGTTGGCATAGAGGCTATCCAATAAAAGGCTAAATTTGTACGAGAGTTGTATTTTTCAAGCTATGTTTTGTTTTACCTCAGCGTGTTAATCTGTGTCAACTTTGCACACTAAGCGTGTCATCGATCACACTTGACTAAAACAAGGATTAGCGTGCTAAATAAACAGAAACAAAACATTGTGTGTCATTGATTGTTTCAGTAATTAAATATGCACATAAAGTGTGTCTTTGGACACACTAAGCGTGTTGTGAGCGTGTCATCACCTTTTTCCCAGATATCACGTGGAGGGTCACAAACATTATGCAAATTTAAGAAATTAATCAGTCGGTTTTACATGACTTTTTCAAAGAGTTTAGAAAAGGCTGGAAGAATTGATATTGGCCTGTAGTTACTAAAGAGTGTTGGGTCATCTGCCTTAAAAACTGGAATCACTTTGGCTATTTTGAGAGATTCAGGAAACACACCAGTAGACAACAAAGTGTTTATAATGGTTTCAAGAGGCTGTGCAATATTTTGGAAAGACTGATGAATTATCTTCATGGATATATTATCATGTCCAGGAGCTTTGTTAGCGTTGAACGATTTGACATTGTTTAATTCACCAACCGTTAGTTGTTGCAATGAAATGGATTCAGAAAGAGAGCTGCTCAAGAAATCCTTGGGTGATGAATTTGTTTAAGGAATTTTGCTCACCAAATTTCGCCCTTTATTGGTGAAGTAATCACAGAAATTATTGGCAATGTCGGTAGGATTGCTAATTTCCATTCCATTTTTGGTGAAGCTTGCAGGATACGGTGATTTAGTGAAACGCCTGTTGTTTAGTTCCTTGAGAATTTTCCATGTTCGCTTTAAGTTAGATGTAGCCTTATCCAATTTGTTGTCATAATAATAATATTTTTCCTGGCAACACGAACAAGACAAGTTAGCTTATTTCTAAATGACTTATAGTTGGATTCATGTTCATGACTTGGTTTCCTTAGGAATAATTTATACAGCCTAGACTTTGTTTTAATTGATTTCAAGATTCCAGTTGTAAGCCACGGATTATGCAGAGTTTTTAGGTTTTCCCTTAACAAAACTTTATCGGAAAACTCTTGTTATAAATTCGGTATATTTTTGTAGGAACCCATTGTAAGCGGCGTTGGCATCAGCATAAATTAGAGAATTCCAATCAAATTCATACGAGGTTGTTAAATGCATTATTAATATTCTGACTAGAGAAGTTGCAAATGGTAACACTTTCCTTAGGCTTAATTAATTGTTGAAGAATGTATCAGTGTAACAGAGTGTGAAGATTGGTAAATGGTCATACAGATCGTTAATAATAAGTCCATTGTCACGCGAGGCAGAAATATTGTTTGTAAAAATGTTATCAATCAGGGTGGCGCTGTACCAAGTAAGGTGAGTTGGTCTTGAAATTAGCGGGTAAAGAAAATGAGAAAAGAACGCATTCATAAACTAGTTCGTAGCTGAATGCAAATCAGTGTTAAGAAGGTCTAAATTGAAATCACCCATTATGTAACACATTTTATTGTCCCTGGTTACCCGGTCAAGCAATTGCTGAAAAGATTAGTGCAATAAGCATGGAGTCAAATGACATCAATTATTTTTCAGTACTGAATGTTAGGTGAGCTCCATGCAAACATTGAAATGTTTCTGTTTTCTGTTCTAGAAAAGCAAGGAAAAGAGAAAGGTTGTCATGTTGCTGGTTGGGTATCGTATAATGCTACAACTGTTTTTAAATTTATTTTCCGGGCTTTTACTTATCGATAGACTGCATCATACTGAAAACACATCAGCAAACAAAGATGAAAATAATGTTATTGACATTTTGTTGAAAGTAAAAAATAGTTAAAACAGTGTAAAGTAAAGCAATTGCATGTAGGTATTTTTTAAGAACAGTTTATCACTAGTATTTGGTAGTCTCAAAAACTCATTTGCTCATTTGTATGTATTGTGTCTCTGTGTAATGTGCAGTTCTTTTTATAATGTTGTGGTTCTGCGGTTCCATAGTTAAGGGCTAGGTGCTCTAGTTCTACCATGACTGTGGTTCGGTGGTTCCTTGGTATCGTGAGTACAGTGTATGTATTGTGTCTCTGTGTAATGTGCAGTTCTTTTTGTAATGCTGTGGTTCTGCGGCTCCTTAGTTAAGGGCTAGGTTTTCTAGTTCTACGACGACTTTGGTTCGGTAGTTCCTCGGTATCGTAAGTACAGTGTATGTATTGTGTCTCTGAGTAATGTGTAGTTCTTTTTGTAATGCTGTGGTTCTGCGGTTCCATAGTTAAGGGCTAGGTTCTCTAGTTTTACCATGACTTTGGTTCGGTGGTTCCTTGGTATCGTAAGGACAGTGTATGTATTGTGTCTCTGTGTAATGTGCAGTTCTTTTTGTAATGCTGTGGTTCTGCGGTTCCTTAGTTAAGGGCTAGGTTCTCTAGTTCTACCATGACTGTGGTTCGGTAGTTCCTCGGTATCGTGAGTACAGTGTATGTATTGTGTCTCTGTGTTATGTGCAGTTCTTTGTCTTATGCTGTGGTTCTGCGGTTCCATAGTTAAGGGCTAGGTGCTCTAGTTCTACCACGACTGTGGTTCGGTGGTTCCTTGGTATCGTAAGTACAGTGTATGTATTGTGTCTCTGAGTAATGTGTAGTTCTTTTTGTAATGCTGTGGTTCTGCGGTTCCATAGTTAAGGGCTAGGTTCTCTAGTTCTACCATGACTTTGGTTCGGTGGTTCCTTGGTATCGTAAGTACAGTGTATGTATTGTGTCTCTGTAATGTGCAGTTCTTTTTGTAATGCTGTGGTTCTGCGGTTCCATAGTTAAGGGCTAGGTTCTCTAGTTCTACCATGACTTTGGTTCGGTGGTTCCTTGGTATCGTGAGTACAGTGTATGTATTGTGTCTCTGAGTAATGTGTAGTTCTTTTTGTAATGCTGTGGTTCTGCGGTTCCATAGTTAAGGGCTAGGTTCTCTAGTTTTACCATGACTTTGGTTCGGTGGTTCCTTGGTATCGTAAGGACAGTGTATGTATTGTGTCTCTGTGTAATGTGCAGTTCTTTTTGTAATGCTGTGGTTCTGCGGTTCCTTAGTTAAGGGCTAGGTTCTCTAGTTCTACCATGACTGTGGTTCGGTAGTTCCTCGGTATCGTGAGTACAATGTATGTATTGTGTCTCTGTGTAATGTGCAGTTCTTTTTGTAATGCTGTGGTTCTGCGGTTCCATAGTTAAGGGCTAGGTTCTCTAGTTCTACCACGACTGTGGTTCGGTGGTTCCTCGGCATCGTAAGTACAATGTATGTATTGTGTCTCTGTGTAATGTGCAGTTCTTTTTGTAATGCTGTGGTTCTGCGGTTCCATAGTTAAGGGCTAGGTTCTCTAGTTCTACCACAACTTTGGTTCGGTGGTTCCTCGGTATCGTGAGTACAATGTATGTATTGTGTCTCTGTGTAATGTGCAGTTCTTTTTGTAATGCTGTGGTTCTGCGGTTCCATAGTTAAGGGCTAGGTTCTCTAGTTCTACCACGACTCTGGTTCAGTAGTTCCTCGATATCGTGTGTACAGTGTATGTATTGTGTCTCTGTGTAATGTGCAGTTCTTTTTATAATGTTGTGGTTCTGCGGTTCCATAGTTAAGGGCTAGGTTCTCTAGTTCTACCACGAGTGTGGTTCGGTGGTTCCTCGGTATCGTAAGTACAATGTATGTATTGTGTCTCTGTGTAATGTGCAGTTCTTTTTGTAATGCTGTGGTTCTGCGGTTCCATAGTTAAGGGCTAGGTTCTCTAGTTCTACCATGACTGTGGTTCAGTAGTTCCTCGGTATCGTGTGTACAGTGTATGTATTGTGTCTCTGTGTAATGTGCAGTTCTTTTTATAATGTTGTGGTTCTGCGGTTCCATAGTTAAGGGCTAGGTGCTCTAGTTCTACCATGACTGTGGTTCGGGGGTTCCTTGTTATAATGCATAATGTGTCTGTGTAATGTGCAGTTCTTTTTGTAAGGCTGTGGTTCTGCGGTTCCATAGTTAAGGGCTAGGTTCTCTAGTTCTACCACGACTGTGGTTCGGTAGTTTCTCGGTATCGTGAGTACAGTGTATGTATTGTGTCTCTGTGTAATGTGAAGTTGTTTGTCTTATGCTGTGGTTCTGCGGTTCCATAGTTAAGGGCTAGGTGCTCTAGTTCTACCACGACTGTGGTTCGGTGGTTCCTTTGTATCGTGAGTACAGTGTATGTATTGTGTCTCTGTGTAATGTGCAGTTCTTTTTGTAATGCTGTGGTTCTGCGGTTCCTTAGTTAAGGGCTAGGTTTTCTAGTTCTAGGACGACTTTGGTTCGGTAGTTTCTCGGTATCGTGAGTACAGTGTATGCATTGTGTCTCTGAGTAATGTGTAGTTCTTTTTGTAATGCTGTGGTTCTGCGGTTCCATAGTTAAGGGCTAGGTTCTCTAGTTTTACCATGACTTTGGTTCGGTGGTTCCTTGGTATCGTAAGGACAGTGTATGTATTGTGTCTCTGTGTAATGTGCAGTTCTTTTTGTAATGCTGTGGTTTTGCAGTTCCATAGTTAAGGGCTAGGTTCTCTAGTTCTACCATGACTGTGGTTCGGTAGTTCCTCGGTATCGTGAGTACAGTGTATGTATTGTGTCTCTGTGTTATGTGCAGTTCTTTGTCTTATGCTGTGGTTCTGCGGTTCCATAGTTAAGGGCTAGGTGCTCTAGTTCTACCACGACTGTGGTTCGGTGGTTCCTTGGTATCGTAAGTACAGTGTATGTATTGTGTCTCTGAGTAATGTGTAGTTCTTCTTGTAATGCTGTGGTTCTGCGGTTCCATAGTTAAGGGCTAGGTTCTCTAGTTCTACCATGACTTTGGTTCGGTGGTTCCTTGGTATCGTAAGTACAGTGTATGTATTGTGTCTCTGTAATGTGCAGTTCTTTTTGTAATGCTGTGGTTCTGCGGTTCCATAGTTAAGGGCTAGGTTCTCTAGTTCTACCATGACTTTGGTTCGATGGTTCCTTGGTATCGTAAGTACAGTGTATGTATTGTGTCTCTGTAATGTGCAGTTCTTTTTGTAATGCTGTGGTTCCATAAGGGCTAGGTGCTCTAGTTCTACCGTTACTTTTGTTTTGTGGGTGCTCTGTATTGAAAGTGCAATGTGTATGCATTGTGTGTCTGTGTATTGTGTAGTTCTTTGTAGAAGGCTGTGCTTTTGTTGTTTCATTGTTAAGGGCTAGTTGCTCTAGTCCTGAAATGGCTTTGTTTCCGTGGTTCGTTATTGTTGTAAGTGTATGCTGTGTATCTGTGGTTGATAAATTTTCTGTGGTTGATAAATGTGTTTTTGTTCTTACAAAGTCTTCCATGCACTGCAAGTGTGTACTTGTAGATATTGGGTGTCCTGTTTCTTTTTAGGTTGCTATTGTTTTGCACTTGTGTGACTTTCCCCAGACCCACATGGTGAAATTATTGCAGTGATGTAAATTAGGTGAAGGTTTGCATGGACTATTGGAAAGGCATTGACCCCATAGTGAAACTTTTGATGCCTGGGAATTTGGCTACAGTGTTCTTCTATTTATTTTTGTAATGCTGAAATTAAAGCTTTTCAAATTCATTCAAAGAGCAAAAACCTTTGGAGTTAACCATTTAAAACGGTTTTTCTGTACCTAATTGCTTCACTTTACACTGTCTTACAGAGGTTATAAGAGATGAAATTACTGTAGTAAAACATTCTTGCTTCACTTATTCTTAGATCAGTACCAAGGAGGAAGGTGGAATGGCCCACCTATCCACCCATGTGCTGAAATGTAGTGGTATTAGTAGGTTAATCGTATCTTCTTCTTCTTCTGAAGGCAGTTGATCAACTCTTCCATAACTGAAGACATTCATTGAAGTATAAGGTGAAAGTGTTGTTTACTGTTGGCTTATTTATTTATTATGTAAGATAATTAGAGTTGTTTGTTTTCCACTATGTTCTGATCCAATTATTGTTCCTTCCTAACAGGTATGTGACAAGTTTTCTTTTTTATAATTAGGTGCAGCATGGCATTTTTCATTGTTTAGTCTTTGTTTCTAGGTGAACGTGTCTGATGTTTCTCATTTCTCAAGTTATGTCCATTAGTAAGTAATTACAAGTTAGTCGTTAATTAATTAAAAGTAAGTAATTATGTAAGTAAATAAGTAAATACCTTTTTAATTAATCAATGAATTAATTAAGTAAATAAGTAAGTAAGTAAACAACTAAATATTAATGAAGAAGGTAAGTAAGTAAATGATTTATTACAGAGTATATATATGCTGGCACTACATCCGTTACTAAGTATTAATAACAAAAATAAATAATGATTAAAAAGAAAATTCATATTTACTGTACATTGATATTGTGAATACTGCTTAAAATACAATTTGAGTTTTATAAATTATTTTTCATTAATGTATTTATTTATTGTATATTTTGTATTCCAGTTTTTATTTCTTCCTGTGCTTTTATATCTTAATCTTTATTTATTCACTAATTTTTAAATAATCATGCAAATAATTATAGCATTTATGCTTGATTTTTCAATTTAAATGTTTAAAGCTGGGAACATGGGTTCTTTTTAAAAGATCATTTTTAAATAATATATCTTGTAGTATCTTTCTAGTTTACTCTTAATATGCTCTTATTTTTACATTTGTTGTGAATATTTTTAACTATAAATGTATTATTTTAAACATTACTTCGATTTTTTAATAATTATGGGATATTTTTAGATAAATTATTTCTTTTGGGAGATTTCTTTATGTAGGGCCAACGTCTTACACTCCCTTTTTAAGGCATTCTTTGTGTACTTAGCCTTAATTTTAAATTTTTGTGTTATTCTAAACATTGCCTTGTATTATGTTAAACATTACCTTGATTTTTAATAATTATGTATATTTTTAGATATTAGCTCACAATTTAACTTTTTACTGACTTAACCACATTAATTATATTAATCAAAAATCCAGCAAACATTCCCATCACCGATCTTTATAACAGACCATACAGCTGTGTAATATAATCCACCATCACACAATGACATTTTTGCGCAATCCTGTTTCTCCTTTGATATGCTGTCTATTGTCAACTCTCCTCAATGCCGCTCACTCACACAAGAACTGAACGACTCACTGTCCTCAGTTTTTTTGTACGAGTCTTGAACTTCTCTTTTCAAGGAATTCTTTGTGTACTTAGCCTTAATTTTAAATTTTTGTATTATTCTAAACATCACCTTGTATTATTTTAAACATTACCTTGATTTTTAATAATTATGGGATATTTTTAGATATTAGCTTGCAATTTAACTTTTTACTGACTATAACCACATTAATTATATTAATCAAAAATCCATAAACATTCCCATCACCGATCTTTATAACACACTATACAGCTGTCTTATATAATCCACCATCATACGATGACATTTTTGCGCGATCCTGTTCCTCCTTTGTTATGCTGTCTATTGTCAACTCTCCTCAATGCCGCTCACTCACACGAGTCCTCAGTTTTTTGTACGAGTCTTGAACTTCTCTTTTGCCTTGATCTAGCATCTTGACCCTCTATTCTTTTGCCTCGATCAAAGCATCTTGACCTTCTATTCTTTTGCCTCGATCAAGCATCTTGACCCTCTATTTCAGTCTCAAATTGAGCTCTCTTTATTATCTCTTTCTTAATTCTACATTTATGTATTGTTCGTGTTGACAGTGCCAATGTGTTTAAGTGTCCTGCATGTGAGAGAGAGAGAGGCATGTGAGAGAGGGAGAGGGAGAGTGTTTGTGTTGACAGTGCCAATGTGTTTAAGTGTCCTGCATGTGAGAGAGAGAGAGAGATAAAGGGAGTGTGTGAGCGCAAATGCCCAACTGCGCGCGTCTGTGGTAAAGCTTAATTGATTAGTTATTTTGTAACTTGCACATTAAATTGTATTGTTAACCATGCATGCATTTTTGTCTTAATAATTATATTATGTATATTATTCCTTTCTGCTATGTTTGCAATGTCTTTAAAGAATTACAGCTATGTTCTGCATGAGGAGGATACAAGGACACAATCGTACAACCTTTAACGCAAGTGGTGAGTCAAAAGAAAGGGATCAAAATAATGGATAATAGGCCTTTTGCAATAGTTGTTCACATGATTAACTTTCTGTAAACACAAAAACAATCAGCTCTAGTTTAGACCACTTTCCAAAATTTGCAAGGTGGTGCCTTACAAGAGATTTGACAGTTAATATATTTTAGATAATTATGTTAAATGAGATTAAGGTATGGAACTCAGGTTTAGTATTAATGCAATTGCAGGTGGATGTATGAGTCAGAGGAGTTTATCAAGAGTTTAACTCATGCCCAATTAAAACCTTAAAGCTCATGAATAGAAAGCAAAATGTTGAGATAGCATTTGGGTTTAAAAATTACACAGCAGTCTCGACTTTACCTTTTGCTCTTTCGATCTCCTCTCTTATATTCTCTTGCTTTTCTTGCCCTGTTTTTGTTTTCTTTTGCTGCAAATTGATTAGCCCTGGGAAAAGTTTTTGGGAAAGCTTCTAGACTGCACAGTTTTCATCTGACAGTGCTTCATAATCATATGATTAAATGGAAGATTAAGATACACTCAAGTAACTAGTTAAAACAACACTTTTATCAAAATTTTGAAGTCAGCTTTTCATGGTTATCTGTATTTTTCTCCGGGCTCTTTGACTTAACCGTGCTTATATTCTGGTACGGTTTGAAAGATATCTTACCCCTACATGAGTTTACACAAATTTTCCTTTAATTGGGTATATACTTATTAAGACTGATGACACCACAAGCAGTATAAAATTATGGGATGTGGCTCAACATGGGCATCGATCAGTTCAAATGGGTGAAGTTGTATAAAATGGTGTAAAGAATTTACTGGTATATGTATTTGTCTATTTTCAGGAAAAGAGGAAGGATCAGATGACTGATGGCAAGAAATTATCAAAGAAAACAGTAGGTAATGTCATCAGGGCCCAGTTGTTCGAAAACCGATTAGCACTAACCCAGGATTAAAATATTATTATGTTAATCTGGGTTTCTTATTCTTCTGTTCAAGAGCATTTTCTTGGATAATTTTCTCTGTTCGTTACAGAGCACCAAATCACTACATTGCAGGCAAAAAGAATTAAACTGAATTTTCTTTGTAAGCTTTCATATCTGATTTTAAACTTCACACTAACCCTGCTTTGAACAATCCAGCCCAGGTCCTTAATTAGGTACCAGTATATGAAAGTATCTTAGCAGTGTCATAGGTGATTTCCCTTATGATGTCAGTGATCGTCACATTACCTTAATCAGCAATCTAAAGGATTTTAAAGTTGTTTGGCACATGTTTGTAAAAAAATTGCAAGAGAAATTTCCACAATCAGAAGAGCAGCTACATTGTATGCTAGCAAAAAGTGGTTATCAGTACAACTGAAAAATAGGTTTGGGCTTCCCCACTGAATCCCGCAAACTCTGCGGTGAAATTTCCTGACTATTCAAAGCTCTCATTTGTACCGGGGCGGGATCCTAATAATTTCATAAAAGTTAGGGTCCAGGAGATTATCAACCAGAACAATCTTCAGAACATTGAAACTTTTCAATAAATAAGTATAATTATAAATAAATAATAGTTTAGAGGTAGCACATCTGCTAAGTGGTTCTTCATCCACTTGATTTCCTGGTTGAATTAAAATTTGAAAATGATGGTTTTTGAGAGGAGGGGAAAACTGGAGTACATGAAGAATAACCTCTCGAAGCAAAGGAGAGCACCAACAGCAAACTCAACCCACATGCGGTGTTGACACCAGGATTTGAACCTGGGCCACAATGGTGGGAGGAGATCAAGTACTCTCACCAGTGCACCACCCTTGCTCCTCTATATATGTAATTGGCCCTGGAAAGGTTTTGAATGATGTATGAAAATGACAAATAGTGATAGTTGTGATCCTACCAGCCATGGGATCAGAGCATTTTGGGGGAACATGTGGCAGGGGTCGGCCAATTTTTGCAAACTATGCTCACTGTGGAAAATACTTCAATTTATCCCTATTAAACACGAAGTTCTAAAAATCAGTCCTGTTTCCTTAAAATTAAAGCGATATAGAGAAGAAGTGTGACGTCACATTACCATGGGAGCAGAATTTCTGGATCACAACATTAGAGAGCTAAACCAACGACGACGGCGAAGGCAACAAGAACCAGTGAAAAAGTAATAGCAAAACAGCAATGCTGCACGTGCATCGCACTCTTGTAGATTTCGTAACAGTCGTTGCACAACTGTGACAAAAAACTTCCTAATTTCATGTGCCTTCTTTCTGGAGTAGGTGAACACAACACAAAATTTTCTTTTTCTTTTTCTTAACTTTCGGATGCAACTCCAGAAAATTTCGCCAACATTTGACAAATTAAATGAAATTGAATAAGATCGATGAAGTATGAAACAGTGCGAATTAACTTTTTAAGTGACGTTTTTGTTTTGTTGTCATCCAGAAAATGTGCTACCATTGCAACGTGATGTGACAACTTCTCTTTTCTATTCCTTTTCACCAAGCTGCCTATTCGAAATTTTGCAGATGACGCTCCGCCCATGATGATCCCTGAAGAACATGATGCAAGGACAAGATGATTTAATGATAATTATTTAGCTTTACTTGTTTTTAGAACCTAATATTACCTAATATTATTGAAAAACTGTAAGTAATTAGGCTTGATGTTTCTACGTCTTTGAGAAAAAGGGTATAATGATAGAGTAAACACCCATGTTAGTGCCAATTTTATCTAATAACACGTCAAAATGAGTCTAGATCACAATGTTAACGTAAGAATTAAGTATAAGGATATCGCTATACTTATATTAAGAGTGCGCGTGTTATTAATATGTTACAGTAATTAATTAGCTGAGGACGATTTGATAATCATAAAAATTAAGTGAGCGCATGCTATTTATCTAGTGATTAATTTACGACTGGTATGTTACATCGCTTATGTAAGAATTTAGAATGTCTGCATGTTATTAATATAGTGATTAATTCACTACAGCGTCCTTGCAATGTTCATGCGACAATTAAGAGTGTGCATGTTATTTATTTAGTGATAAGTTTACTAAGGTGAATTGCAATGCTTATGTAAGAATTAAGAATGCACACGTGTTTTAATTTAGAAATTAATTTACTAACAATAGATTGCAATCTCATATCAGAAATTGAGTGTCTGTGTGTTATTTATTTAATGCTGAACTTACTATGAGGATATTGCTATGCTTATATTAAGAGTGCGTGTGTTATTAATATCTAGTAATTAATTGGTTGAGGACGGTTTGATAATCAAAAATTAAGCGTGCGCGTGTTATTAATTTATTTGATTAATTTAAGACTGGTATGTTGCATCGCTTATGTAAGAATTAAGAATGTCTGCATGTTATTAATATAGTGATTAATTCACTACAGGGTCCTTGCAATGTTTCTGTGACAATTAAGAGTGTGTATGTTATTTATTTAGTGATAAATTTACTAAGGTGAATTGCAATGCTTATGTAAGAATTAAGAATGCACACGTGTTTTAATTTAGAAATTAATTTACTAAGAATAGATTGCAATCTCATATCAGAAATTGAGTGTCTGTGGGTTATTTATTTAATGCTTAACTTACTATGAGGATATTGCTACGCTTATATTAAGAGTGCGCATGTTATTAATATGTAGTAATTAATTAGCTGAGGACGGTTTGATAATCAAAAATTAAGTGAGCGCGTGTTATTTATCTAGTGATTAATTTAAGACTGGTATGTCGCATCGCTTATGTAAGAATTAAACAAAGTCTTGCAATGTTATGCGACAATTAAGAGTGTGCATGTTATTTATTTAGTGATAAGTTTACTAAGGTGAATTGCAATGCTTATGTAAGAATTAAGAATGTTATGTTTTAATTTAGTAATTAATTTACTAAGAGCAGATTGCAATCTCATATCAGAAATTGAGTGTCTGTGTGTTATTTATCTAATGCTTAACTTACTATGAGGATATTGCTATGTTTATATTAAGAGTGCGCGTGTTATTAATATTTAGTAATTAATTGGTTGAGGACGGTTTGATAATCATAAAAATTAAGTGAGCGCGTGTTATTTATCTAGTGATTAATTTAAGACTAGTATGTCGCATCGCTGATGTAAGAATTAAACAAAGTCTTGCAATGTTTATGCGACAATTAAGAGTGTTCATGTGTTTTTTTTAGTGATTAGTTTACTAAGGTGAATTGCAATGCTTATGTAAGAATTAAGAATGCACACGTGTTTTAATTTGGTAATTAATTTACTAAGAGTAGATTGCAATCTCATATCAGAAATTGAGTGTCTGTGTGTTATTTATTTAATGTTGAACTTACTATGAGGATATTGCTATGCTTATATTAAGAGTGCGTGTGTTATTAATATCTAGTAATTAATTGGTTGAGGACGGTTTGATAATCATAAAAATTAAATGAGCGCGTGTTATTTATCTAGTGATTAATTTAAGACTAGTATGTCGCATTGCTGATGTAAGAATTAAACAAAGTCTTGCAATGTTTATGCGACAATTAAGAGTGTTCATGTGTTTTTTTTAGTGATTAGTTTACTAAGGTGAATTGCAATGCTTATGTAAGAATTAAGAATGCACACGTGTTTTAATTTGGTAATTAATTTACTAAGAGTAGATTGCAATCTCATATCAGAAATTGAGTGTCTGTGTGTTATTTATTTAATGTTGAACTTACTATGAGGATATTGCTATGCTTATATTAAGAGTGCGTGTGTTATTAATATCTAGTAATTAATTGGTTGAGGACGCTTTGATAATCATAAAAATTAAGTGAGCGCGTGTTATTTATCTAGTGATTAATGTAAGACCGGTATGTTGCATCGCTTATGTAAGAATTAAGAATGTCTGCATATTATTAATATAGTGATTAATTCACTACAGGGTCCTTGCAATGTTTATGCGACAATTAAGAGTGTGCATGTTATTTATTTAGTGATAAGTTTACTCAGGTGAATTGCAATGCTTATGTAAGAATTAAGAACGCACGTCTTTTAATTTACTAAGAGTAGATTGCAATCTCATATCAGAAATTGAGTGTCTGTGTCTTATTTATTTAATGCTTAACTTACCACGAGGGTATTGCAATGCTTATTAATTAACAGTGCGTGCGTTTTATTAATCTGGTAATTAACTTACCACAAGGGTATTGCAATGCTTATGAAAAGTTGCTTCTGACAGTTTAGTATAATAGAACCGACTAGTATTTTCCTGCGTTTGACTTGTTAATTAGCAGGAAAATATGCTCTCATCGGTATCGTATGTTTGTTTAGGCGTGTGCGCTGGTATGTGGGTAATTAGTAGGGGTATATATTTGGGCATGCTGGTTTTGTCTTTCATCTCGGTCTTGCTGTTCCAGCTTTCGGGTCATTTTTGTTTGTTTTTACTTTTTAGTGTGTGTGTGTGTGTGTGTTCTTTTTGCTTTTATTTTGCAGATGTTTTCAGCTCTACTATGTGGTCGGATCTTCGGGCTGCGGTTCCCCAGGGATCCAGTGTTTTACAATCCCTTGCAAGTTCTGTTCCGGATATTGCGTTGGCTAGCAGAGCACCCAGTACTTCCGCCAAGTATTTTTCTTCTTACAACAGGTGGAGGTCTTGGGCACGAGAACATGGCTTGACAGTTTTTCCTGCTTCTCCGTTTCACTTTGCCATATATTTGCGTCATTTGATGACTGAGGCGAAGACAGCATCTCCCCTGGAGTCAGCAGTTCACAGCATTGCCTGGTTTCACCAGCTGGATGGCGAGCCGTCTCCTTCTGCTCATCCGT